TAACCAATACAATAACCCTGTATAATAATCCTCCTACAAAAAAAAAAAACAGCCATATTTGGGCAGGCTGTATATACTGCATATATCCCATGCACCTTTTTCTTCCTTTGGCACCTTCTTCTTATTCTTTGACTATTTGAGCTGATGTAACGAGTTAATCTCTCCACTGTGAGATCACAATGAGTCTCACACCCCTGACTTAGAGTGATGTTTGCGTTTTAGATCTGTAATCGCCAACATCTCTTAAAGTGATCTCCTTCAACAAAAGCTCAATTTTGTCTGAAATTTGTGAATTATGCTGAATTTTAACGAGCGTAACGGCCACAGAAACGGTTTATGTTTTTTAAGCGCATGAGCACCAATTTGACAGTGTTACTTTGATAGCTCCGGCTGCGCCCTGCCAACACAACCAATGGTCTGCAGCGTGCCTCAGACTAACGCTGAGTGACGTCCGCTCACATGCAGGTGAATGCTTAGCCTCACCGCCGAAGAACATAGAGGGTAACCTTTGAACGGGACTCCCACATCTTGGTTCACGTAGAATTCAAAGACTTCTCACGACCAATTCTCTAATCTAAGAAACAATCACAAACTGATTTATAGTTTAGGATGCAGATATTAGTGCTACCCGATCTAGGTTTAATCAATAAAGGCACCTCAACAATATGCAGTTTCTGAAAAAGCCTAATGTCACAGTGACGGCCGAACGCTGTCAGTACTTCTAATTCTAAATGTACGCCAAAAATAAAATCTTGTAAATCTTATATTAAAGGCTTTTTTATTGAAAGCTAACCACTGCAGCAAGCTAAGAGAGAGGCACGATATTATCCACTGTTCTGAGAAACTACAGGCTGGATTTCATACATAGAATGTTGACAGTTTTACAATCTTTATATATTTACTGCTCTAAGTGGGTCACTCTGTCAGTTAACGATTAATTGATTACTAAATTAGTTGACGATTATTTCAATGATCAATAAATCACGATTAATCTGATTGTTTAGCCCTAAAGAGAATATTCACTTTAATTTAAAAGGTGAAGGGCTAGTATTATAGTTGTCAACTATTCCATATCAATGCGATTTTTGCACCATGGTTTTTCTCCCACACATTTAATCACTGCTGTACTTTATGAAATGGAAATGTTAATTTATTGTCTGAAAGCTGTACTAAACGATATTTTTTTTTGTATACACTACGTGTTTATAAAATGATAATACAAGTTGTCCAAGTCTATTCAACATCCAGAATCAATCTTCAGTCATGTTTAATTATTGATTTGCCCACACTGACGTAGGTGATGAAGTCAGAAGTCTACACATGTAATAAATACTCAAACAAGCAGTTTAATTTAAAACACACACACATAAACTACTCTCTGCGTACATTTTGAACGTTTTATGCGTGTGGATTTAAAACTATGAGCCTCACAATAAATCAGAAGCATAAATTTAAGCTCCTCCGTTTTTCTCTCTTCTCACTTTGCAAGCTCCGCCTTACTCACCATTACTGGAGTTCATATTGAGAAGAATGTCTGAGTTGGTGTTGTGAACGATTGCTGCACTGTACCCAGCTTTCTGTGCATTAAGAACCTGAAACAATATCATGACTACATGAGCTCTGATTGTGTCAAACACCAGTGGCCATTCTCTGTCAAACACTGCTCACCTTTATATCAAAGTTGCATTCATATCGCCTAATGAGAGCGATAAATTTAGTGGTGTTGGCATCATAGTTTGTTGGCAGTGGAGGAGGAGGATCCATCGTCGTACAACCATTGAGCGGACGGGATACCACCAAAAGACCCTTTTAGAATAACAGAAAAAAGAAAATAAAAAAAAGACCATTGAAGTGAACATGTTCGTGCAGTAATAACTAAATATCTCCGCTCACCATTAATCCCTCCTCAGGAAGAGGAGGTCCAAACAAAGCAGGTAGGTCCTCAAATAACATGGAGGTCATATTGTAGAAATGCTATCAAAAGAAAGTGTGACATGATTGAAATATAAAATGACTTTCAGGATAGAATATCATCATTATACCGTTTAAAACTTTAACTTTACTTACAACAAATATATATGCATGTGTTGGTGAGGGAACACACACGCAGGAGAAGACCAATAAAAAGACACTCAGCTGAGTCCACTTAGGCCAGACACCGAGGTGGGCCATCCTGGGATGCTTTCAGTGCAACTAAGATGTGAAAAAGAAAAAGAAAATGTATCAAACAAAAAATACAGAAATACAGTAAATGGCATACAAAAAAAAAACAATTTTGAGTCTTAGTGGTCTTATTTCAAAGCGAGTGGCAAAACCTGGATAGTTTCTGCCAAGTTCTAAAAAGACGTTTTTTCATGTTTTATTTACCTGTTTAACCTTTTATCAAGGCTTCTTCTATATATTATTCTACACATATGTTTGAATCTGTAGCTCAGCAGGTTAAGAAACTGTGAAGTTGCTACGCAAGTTACGGGTTCGTGACCACAATCATATTTTTCCCCTTCACTTTATTTTGGGGAGTGTTGGTGGTTACAGCAGTGCACTTGTGCTCTGAGAAGGATTCAAATACCCGGTTCGATCCCCACAGCCTCCACTATGGGCCTCTGAGCAAGACCCTTAACCCCACACTGCTCCCCGAGCTACACAGCGGCAGCCCACTGTTCCCGAAAGGGATGGGTTAAATGCAGAGAGTGAATTTCCCCATTGTGGGACAAGAAAGGGATTTACATTTATATATAATTAGGTCATTCTGACATTTTGAAAACAGCAGATTCAGCAGTACATCTGCACCTCAAGAACAGCTGAAAGAGGTAAAGGAAGCCATTTTTGTTGAAAGAGAAAAACCGAGATCAAACAGAGAGGGAGGATTGCTGTTTCATCTGCCAACTCAAAAAACCCATCTAAAAAAAAATCATCCCAAAGTGATTACATAAGAAGGCTAATCAAGATCTAGATGGCCATGTAGACAACCTACACTAAACAAAACCAACAGACTCCAGCGACCGGGTCACCGATTTAAATCTGACCTGGAATGTGTCTAAAAGAATGGGCCTCCATGTGTGCAAGAACGTCAGTGCCCCAAATACAGGTGGCACTAGTGAGAGATGCCAGAACTGACAAAAACTCCTAGATAGCTGTCAAAACTTTTTCATGAAAAAACAAGCAAAAGTCTCACTGCCTCTTATATATTCTGGTTTTGTGGTTGGCACATAGATTATTGAAAATTTGCACAGGCAAATTTCTGAATGACATCAGAGTAAAAAGTTGTATCTTTTACTTTAGGCTGCATGGACTGCTTTAGAGAAACATTTGCATTGAAAAGCAAAAATGCCAAAATTACAATAAAGGTTAGTGACATGGCAACTTTTTCAATTTTCCAAAACATAATTTAACAAAATTCAAATTCAAAAAGTTTTTATCCAAATCAATACACATTCCTGCTTAAGCCTTAACAGAGCTTTTTATTAGAACACATACTACAATGAAAATAAGGTCTGACCTCAAACGTGCTTGATTTGACCAACGCAGCCCTTCTTTAGTTGCAAAAAGCAAAGTAGGAAATCTCAAATTAGGGATGCAAACTTATAATGGACTAGTGATTAATTGTCAGTTAATGGTTTATTACATAAAGATTTCCTCAATACTATTAATTGAATTTTTTGGAGTTTTGTAATGTTACTGCTGTCCATTGGAGGGCGCTGTTGTTCATTCCTAGACTGAGGTTCAGAGGTATTTGCATTAGAAGCAATGCAAAAACTGTGGGAGATAAATGAATGGATCCAGAGTCTGGTCCAGCATTATCACCACTGTTTAATGACAACAAGAATAAGTTAACTTTATGTGGTTCTGATTGTAAATATAAACACTGGATAAACACCATAAGGTAACACCTAAATAAGCCTATTTAGTCACGTAGCATTGAGGAGCAGCAGAACTCTGGAGAGAAAAGGATGCAATAACAGAAAAATGGAGGACATTAGATAAAAAAAAAAAAAAAACTTGAACATGATAGAAAGAAAATATGCAACAAGTAGGGGAGACAGGAAACGCTTTTGTGGTTTAATGCACTTCAATGTGTTGAGTTAATGTTCTGAGAGCAACCGGAACCACCAGCTGAAATGCTCTGCTAACAGCACAAAGTCTTTCCCACCAGATCAAACTAAAAACACAGAGAGCTATGTCAGAGTTATCCACTTCATTGAAACTAGATGCAAATAACCCTGATAGCGTTTCAGAGCAACATAGCCTTTATTTTATTTATAGTTTTATATAAACACATTTTCTTCAGAGTCAATAACCTAATAGGTTCCGGTTTTGCAACATTTTATGAATACATTTAAAAATGTGTAACAAATAGTTTTTTTGTTTATTTCAAGTCCGGGTTTAATACAGGCTACACAAATGCTGCTTATAGATAAGATCGACCAAATTTTGAATAATTCATTAATCAATAACTTGCTTTGCTACCTGAAATATATGTCCATTTCATTACTTTGTAGAAAATTCGTGTTATATCCAAGACAATGATCTGATTTTATTTTAAGATTCAAGCATTGCTTTCTGCTACGGCTGAACTATTTTTGCCTGAAATCTAAATAATCAGTATAATAACGATAAAAATATATATCTTCAGATCTCTATCTACTATAGCTTGAACCAGATGTCTGGTTATAAACAAACAAAAGAAATAAAAATAGAGAAGGCTGTGGTTTTTAGAAAGCAGTTTGTTTAGGTCAAAGGTGCTTAAACTAAAAAAAAAGTCAATATTAGCTTTTGTTTACAGAATTTAAGGCAGCTCAAAATTTCTACTTTTCAGACATTTGTCTCTAAGAATTTCTCTCCTTTTTTAAAATTCACCAAGGATTCCTCCCAGTAGTTGAAATGGAAATGAGTGCTGATGATTACGATCAACATTAACATTTGAAGGCAAACAGTAAATTCAGGTTGTTTAGTGATGGTAATTCAGAGATATGCAAATAAACATTAAAAATGGCAAACAGCATGCAGAGGTTTAGCAGGGATTGAGGTCTGCCTTTTAAAATGCAAACTTTAATGCAATTTGTTTTACATTTCTTTTGTTTCAAATTAAATGACAAAGGGCATTTGGGACTAAAAAACCACAGCTGTGGGGGTCATCTTTTTGGGTGTCTGTACGAGCTGCATTTTTCTATTTTCTTAAATTACATGCAGGCCGTAGAAAGACACAAAGTAAAGCAGTAGGGAACTTATTCCTCATTTTTGGATAGTAAAAATGTGTGGTTAATGTTTAGACCCCTTTACAGAGTTACCCCAAAATAATATAAATGATTAATTTCAGGATAATCGACCCTGCAAATAAACCTTTTATGAAATAGTGGAGACAAAGATCTACATAAGAATCACAGCAAAGATAAGGAGGAAAGCACTTTCCACCTGTCATACATGGTTTTGACCTACATTTGCCAGAAAGAATGTTTAGCCAAAGGTTAGTGATGTGTTGTTCACATGTACAAAAAAAATAAATAAACTAACTTCCAAACAAAACCTATTAAATTTAACTGGAACTTCAGCTGCTTTAACCATTTGTTTATCTACTTATAAAGGCAGTATCATGATCTGACACTAATAGAAATGTAATGATTCTTCTTTTCCACTAAAAAAAACAACAACAATAAAAAAAACAGTAAACTGCTGAATTACAGAAACACCTTCTGTTAAAGGCACATAAGTTAAATGACGCTGAGCCAAAATGTTTATGTGACATTTTACTGAGACACTTACCGGATTTCTCTGTTTATATCTGAACTCAGTTGGAAGAAATCGAAACTCCAGACGTTTAACTAATCATTTAATTAAGCGGGCAGTTCTTGCTATACAGTTCAAACCGTTTATAATCTTATAAATACACTTCCAACAGAAAATAAAACACACGAAAAGGATTAACTTGAGGCTAGCCGACGCTTGGCTAGAGTTAGCAAATGTTAGATAACAGGTTCATTTGTTCTCTCCCTTTTAAGGCCCGTATACAAATATTTCGTTAAAAACAAGAACTAATCTATCCAACGAAAACCCGGCGGAGATAAAACCTCCACTTTTCTCCTGCTAAATTCGCTGTTTTCTGCTAGGATTTGTTTGTTTGCTACCGTTTTCGTCTTCTTCTTGAACGTTGCTGTGTTTTGCTGGCTGTTAACTTGCAAACGACTGAAAACTCACTACCGCCACCAGCTGGTGCGATATGAGAATGCTGTTTGAAACCTTTATTATCAAATAAATAAATAAATAAATAAATAAATAAATAAATAAATAAATAAATAAATAAATAAATAAATAAATAAATAAATATTTTTTTCAAATACTCACCTGCCAGCATTTTCTAATTTTAAGGAAAATCTTGTTTTAGACACCCAGGAGGCTCATAATTGTTTGCTTAATTGTTTAAATTCTTAAATAGAAGATAAGATAAGCAATGGTTCTATGGTCCCACAGTGTGGAATTTCAATTTCACAAAACTAGTTTGGAGGAAAATTTTTATTTCAGATGTTAGCATTCAGTTCAAAATTTTTATCAAATGTGTGCATGTAGCATGAAAAAAATAGATCACATTTGATCCTGGGTTGTACTTCATAGGAACCTTAACCACAGATGCAGCGCAGAGGAAGTGATAGTTTCCACAGGCACATACAGAGAAAGATCGGTTTTAAAGGTGTTGACAAAAACCGAGCGAAAATAAGGTTGACTCAAACCTCATGCAACAGTTTCACCTCCTTGCTTTAGCTTTTTAGACAGATATCTTGTATCTTGTATCACCAGCATGACACGTGAAATATTCTATTATATTATTTTAGGAAAATTGCATAAAAATATGACTGCTCAACCGGGGAAGGTTCTGTGTGAAAGTAACTATTCTCAAAATAATCTACTCTATTTCCAAACCAGAGTGGCCACCTGCAAAGAGACATCTGGTTAGCCTCTCTATACAGAATATTTAATGTCATTTTTCTTTTAACACCATCTTTATCAACTGTCTTTGTCAACATTAAGGTTAAAATTTCTTTACTGAATCATAAATGCAATCGACATTACAATGCAATATATTTAGTTACTTTATCTTTAAGCTATCTCATCACATTCTGTATTATTACAGAAAAGTAAGAAGTCTTATTGCCATGTGTGGTTCTAGACTGGGGTCAGCAGGGACCAGTTCCGCTGTAGAACTGGTCCTTCTCTCTCCAAAATATGCATACCCGTTCAGATGGGTCAGAGTCTGAACGAGGGGTTTCAAGTTTTAACACCAAGTTTGTTTTTGAAAAATCACAACCTTTGCATGAACTTTGTTTCCTGCAACTCTCATCCATTTTCAGAGTGTATAGTGAAAGCAGTGGAGCTAAACTGAGTGAAACTGAAGCTAAATAGACAATCACTAGAAAAGGGGCATTTGCAGCAAATTTATTTTATATGGGAGCAAAACAAATTTCATGGCATGTGAATATTATTCTCCATGGAAAACGTTTAAAGACTTAACGGTTATATCTCATGCAATAAAGATGGGCTGCATTTTGAACAGAGGGCCTTGAAATGAGGTTAAAGGGAGTGATAAACAATGAGGTAAGGAAGTTCTAACCCTTTACAGAGTTAAATTTCACCAACGATCAGTCGTTAGATTTGTGGTCCCCCTTTAGCATGTGAAAAACAAGTAATGGGTGTCATCTGTAAAAAGGTGCTGCTTATTAGCATTGATTTTGTTTACTGTCAGCCGGATTTAAATGGGTCTTTTGAAAAGAGAAACTGTTTATTGACTCCCCCAAACATTTTATTTCAATCTTATCTTATTTTTATTCATTTTAAATGGATAGAGCAGAGTATAACAAGATTTTCAGGTATAACGCCACAGTGAACATCCCGCATTTCTCGCACGATTATTAATTCTTCCTTTGTTGGAAAGCAACTAAAAACAACATTAATGCAAAGGTAGCATGTTGTAATATTTCTATAAATGTCTGCTTAAAGTTACCACCAAATTATCTTTGACATGTTTTCCCAACATTATTTGGTTAATGTTTGCTTTATGTCCTTTAGAAAGTAAATATCTTAAATATAACTGTGTATTTCATGGATTTTGGAGATTTAGATACAGTATGACCAAGGAAAATATGTGTAAAGCTAAGGAAGCAGATTAAGAAATTTTATAACAGCTCTTCTGGGTCTCAGAGTGGTCAAGCACAACTAAGGCAAGACAAGTTTATTTCTATGGCACATTTCAAAGGTAAGACTATTCCAAATCCAAAGCAGTGCTGTGTGTGAAAAAAAACCAAAACAGTAATATAGAGCAACACGAATAGTGAAAAAGAAATGTGGCAGATAAAAAAGGGGGCTTAATGATAAAATGATTGAGAAAGTGGAATGAATATTAGACTGGAAACGTAACTAATAATGGTTCACTATCTCAGTCAGCGGTCCCTCTCGACAAATATGCTTTAATCTGGATTTAAAGCAACTGAGGGTTTTGTGTTACCAGGAGTTCCCCTCTCAGTCAAAAGTGTTGATGATTGTCCAAAAATGCAACGCACACTAACTGAAATAAAGACTGTTTTACGTAATCTTTTAATTTGAGCATTAAAAGTTTTTATTTTTTTATGCTTTCCATCTCAAAATAAAACAAAATTTATATTTTGCCAAGAAGTTAGTAAGGAATTGAAATAAATACTAAATAAAATCCTATTATAAACCCAGATTTATTAAACTGGAGCTTCTCTGAGTAACTCCCTTATAAGCACATTTAATCCTGATGAAATGGGAACAAAATGCTGAACAAAAAATATAATCAGACTAACTTAATTAGTGTTACTTTATTTACATCAAAACACCTGAGCTGCTTTGATGAGCTCCGATGGTTCAGCTGATACCAGACTGTTCTCTACATCCAGTCTGTTCCTCTGCTTGGTTTGGATGTGTGTCACAACTGAAGGTGAACTCAAACATAATGAGAAAAACTTACTTTTTGTTTGATAAAAGCTATTTTATTTTACTATCTAAGAAATAAAATATTTTCACGTACCACTTGCAGTGCATTTAAACCACTAGAGGTACGGGTATCCCCGGTTAGGAAACACTGATCTAGACCTGGAAAAAAATCTAGCTGTTCTCACTTCTCCTCTGATTGCCTCACTTACTTCCTCTGTTCTCAGCTCTTCCTCTCACATTTACTAAACAGTCAGCTGTAGCACGCTCCTTGTGAAATCCAGCCAATATGCACCATTTTCTGCTCTGTTTTCATTTTGCCCCTTTTCTTCTTAAATGTTTTGTTATAGGTTTATTTTTAGTAAAATTATCTTCATTTCAGAGCTCTGCTTGCACTCTGATTATTCTAAACTCCTCAAGCTCTGACATAATCAAGCTTAATGGGTTTCTACCATGACCGACTGGGGATTTTAGAAGAAAGAGCAGAAACACAAATGACAGAGATGCATTAGTCCAAAAGCACTTTCTATATGATTTAAAAGAAAGAAGTTAATAGAAGGTCCATTCAGGACCTAGAAGCTAAACCAATGTTGCATCTCCTATGTTACATTAACATACAGTCTACTGTGTATATAGCTTTATACTATATATTGTATATTTTATATGGTATAGATTCTGTATTCTGTATACATATCTATTTTGTCTTCACCGTCTGATTCTGATTCTAAAGTAGTCCTTCTTTAGTGGTTTCATCGTGTGAACAGGATGGAATCAGCATGAGGAAAAAGCAAAACGTTTAATTAATTGCAAGTAATGCAAAAAATTGGAAAACAGTAGAAGAAAAGGGGTCATCATGTCCTTCAGCAGCCTAAATCTATAACAGCATTTCTATAGATATAGCTCAGGATAGTTTCACAGAACAGTTAGAAAGTAGGTTTTTTACTAACATTTTTTTTATAGTGTTCAATCCTTACAACTGTAGACTGATTTGTGCACAGTCAGCTCTTTTAATCCCACTGGGATGTCAACAAAATGAGGAAATACAAAGAGACTTACATGTGAGATCTGTGTTTTAGGTTCAAGCTCCTGTTTTAGCACTCATAGTTATAAGGAGAGTTTAAGAAGGTTTCATCCAGGCTTAAAGTGAAGGCACCCAGGTATCTGTCATCTGTGGGGCTATTGTTATTTGACACAACTTGTAAACAACTGTGGTATTAAGAGAATGTGCACCATGTATTCTTGGGAGAACATATTAGAATGCAGATGGTATGCATGTCCGAGGGTTGGTTTGTGTTTCTCCTCTTCAGATCCAATACGCAGATTGAGTGAAGGCCATTTTATTTGTACTATTTAAGAAAATTTCCTAATGCAGAAAGTTTTAAATCTAGTCTTAGGCAGGGTGTTTGCCTCACATGCTAAAACCTGGTGTTGACAAACAGGAGATAAGCCTAAAAACAAAAAAGATCTGCCTGTGAACCACTAAACATGCAGTTTGAAAGTGTTCCATTAGGAACATAATTGACAATTAGATCGTTGATGATCGTTTTGTATATAAGAGGGAAACTTGTTGGGGGATTTTGGATTTAAGAAGGAACCAAGGATGCTAGAAAAAAAAAATTTCTCTATATGATTATTATCAAAACCTTTGCTGCAGCGTTTGATAAGCTTAAAGCATTTAACTATGTTTTGTGGACTTACTGATTGTAAAGAAATAAATAGTCCAGCCTTGATGTAAGAAATGCATTATTTCTGATTTTAACTATATTTTAGAAATGAAGAAGGAAATCCTAGGCCTCTTAACCCATCCACTTGTGGAGCAGTGGGCTGCCACCGTGTGGCGCATGGTGCGATTTGTGGGCTTAAGGGTCTTGCTCAGAGACTCAGAGTGGCAGTCTGTGGGAGTGGGGCTTGAACTCAGAACCTCTGGATTCCAAGCTCTATGCAGCTGCCTCTCACCCATGTAATATAAACATAATTCCTGCTCTCATCTCTACATCTAATCCTAAAACACAATTTAAAAAAGAAAAAACACCAAACACAGTTTTCATGATTTTTGCAAAATTTTCATTTGAAAAATGTGGGAACGTTCCACAAAACATTCAAGAAAAATTGTAACTTGCAGCAAAAAAAGTCTGAAGGATTGAATCCTGGTTTGGGTCTTTTTTTGTAAAGTGTAATTTTTTTCTGGGTTCTCTAGAGCATCTAAAA